GAGAGAGAGAGAGAATGGGTGGAGAGAGTGAGAAATCACTCCCCAGGGAGGAGGGCCATGTCGCAATCCCTTCTCTTCCAGTCTCCTCTCAGAATTCTGGGCATGCACACAAACCCACCCAGCATGATTTTCAAGCTGCTGGGTCCAGGACTTGAGCTGCTTAGTTGGTCATGTGGGATCCAGCTCCTTAACCTCTCCACCACTTAATGGCCCTGGGATGGAATTTATGCTGACAATTATCTTCTTTTATTACACCACTGTCTTTTGGTTTCCACTGTTGCTGGTGAGTAGTCAACCACATTTCCAACTGCTGTTCCTTCGTAAATTAGATTCTCCTGGTATGCCCCTCTCCATTCTAGTATCTTCTGGTCCTTCACCTGAGTGCACGTCCACCCCTTCAGTCCTCTTGATCACTGTTCCTCAGACTTCATGTGCAAACAAGTTGCCAAAGGTCTTATAAAATGCAGAGTTTGGTTCTGAGATGGGGCAGGCTAAGGATGGATGCTGAGAGCCATGCCACTGAACTGCTCAGCATAAGAGGGTACTTCTCTGTGTGTGATCCCAGAGGGAAGAGGAAAAGAGAAGAAAAGATTGAACTCAAGCCAGCAGTGAAGGTTAAAAGGGGTGTTTGCAGTGGCACTGCTTGAGGAGCAGGTGGGGATGTAGGCAATGGGGTTAAGAAGGGAACAAGCTTCAGAGGCAGCAAGATGTCAGCCTGTGACCACAGGACATGGCAGTGGCTACTCTTCTCGTTGCTCTCATTCTCGATGAGGGGTAGCCTCACCCAACTCCCCACAGGGCTCTGATGGAGATGCAGAACAAGTGGGAGAGAAATCCTCTGTGAGAACCTACTCAAGCTTCCCAATGCTGGAGATCACGTGAGATCACATGTCTATCTTCACATGTCCATAGAGACATGCACAAACCAGCAGAGGCACTATGGCTGCACCACGGGACAGAAAGACACTTTCAACACAGGACCTGGCTTGGCATCTTTCCATTAATTTCTTGTGACACGTTTCTATAACTTCCTAAGATCGACTCACAACCTTAGCGGATCCTGGAGCCATCCGACTCGCAGAGTGAGTCACCATCCCCTGGTATCCATTACTCCGGTGTGCGCCAGGTCTCTTCCTCACTGGCTCTTAAGCTGTGGCCCAGTTCACCTCGCAAAGCCTCCCCCTGCCTAGGCTGACAGTCCTGAGATCTACTTTCCAGCCAGCACAAGGCTCAGATAGGCCTGCCTGGTTGACCAAGTGTTGGGTCTACCATGCTGCTGTTTTCATTTATGCTTGTTTTCAGTATTCCCTTTAAATGTAGGGCTGCTAAGTAAGGGGGCAATATGGAAACACTGAGGACTAGAAATAAAGCCCCATGTATGTACACACGGGTATTCTAGAGTTCACTAACTCCTTCTGGAAGAAAATAATTTCTTGCTAGCGTAACCACATGACTGATGACAGCAGTAGGCCAGAGGAGGGAGGGGCAACCCACCATAGTTCTCCCAGCGTTTGCCAGGCTTTGCATTCTCCATCTGCTCCCACGCTCCATGCGTTTGTGATTTCTCATACCATTTTTGGAAACTACACTCAACCTGACCCTGAGAGGACACGTGAAAGTATGTGGAGTTTCCAAGGCTGCAGAGTAGCGGTCCCAGAGAACCAACTATGACTGGCAATGACAGCAAACATCGAGCTCGGCCCTCTACAGTCTTTCCTGCTTTCCAGCCATGCTCGAGTTTCTTCAAAATGTCCGGGCACTACGAGGGTAGTAAGCTTCCAGGAAATGTGAGTGCAACAACACAAGTGGTGGCCAGAAACGGGAAGAGACTGCTGAGGGCGGAGCAGTGCTGCTGGGACTTTCTTTAAAACTGGGCACACACGAAAAATATGCATCTTTATTTCTAGACAAAGAACTACTCAGACCTGACACCTGTATCTTAGAGTCTGTGTGTCTGACCCACGGACCTGCACATCCAGGCAAGATACTAGCTGTTATAAGATGATGACAATATATGATGTCAGCACTTTGGTTGAAATAAAGCTTACATTCGATTACACTGTAAAATAAAACAATATTCCCTGCTATTATATTTGTGTTGTAAGAAAGTGAAACTTTTACTAAGTCCAGATAATAGTTGTCTTCCTGCCTTCAGCACCCATATTGCTAAGTGATCATTTTGATTTGTTTTTGATGAGTTGTCTCAGTGAGTGTCCAAGCCTTCCATTCTATTGCCGTCAGAAAAGCACTGGGGAAGCATCCACTCTTGCATTACCAACAGCTGCTCACCAAGTCACAGCACATTGACATGGAAGACGTGATGTCTTCTGCAGAAAACTAGTTCATGGAAATAACCAAGTTCCTGCTACTACAGCAGGATCCCTGAGACTGGGTCACCCACAAACAGCATAAACTTATTGCTTGCAGTTATGGAGGCTGAAGCCCAAGATGAGGGTGCCAGTAGGTTCAGTGTCTGGTGAGGGCTGCTATTTGGCCCAAGCCCAAGACAGCACCTTGAACACTATATCCCCATATGGCAGAAGGGACAGAAGGGGGTGGCAGCTCTCTGGAGCCTTTGTTATAAGGCCACTGATCCCATTCATGAGGGAGAACCCTCACAGCCTCATCACCTCCCAGAGGCCCCAGTTTCTAATACCACAGGTAATTAGGTTTCAACATACGAATTTTGGAGGAACACAAACATTCAAACCATAGCACCAAGTATTTCAAATCTCTACCATATGCAGTGAGGAAATTATGTAAGTTATTCATTAGTCTAAACGAATATGAAACAATCTGTAAAACTACTCATTTAAAAGAGAAACTGAGAAAGTCACATGGGATAGACAAAACAACCGATCGATATGAAAATCAATCAACCAAATGAATCAAACCCTCTCACTTCCACCTGCTTGCACACACCTGTAACCTTTGGAAATTTCAGACCAGAAACACTTTTCTGCCGACTCAAACATCTGTACCTCCAGAGGCACTGGTGAGGGTATCTGCTCTTTGGCCACAGGAAACTCACCAGATATTGCTGAATTGTCCTTGCAGCTCTGAGCGTCTGACTTTGGAACTACTGTCTGGGATAAAGACGAGTAAACCTTCAACCCGATCAGCAAAATTGCCCTTTATGGGCTGCCAGACATTGGATTTCCCTTGAGTTCTAGAACACTACAGAATTAAGATAACCAAGTTTTTGAATCTGCTTTTGTGTGCACATGTAAACACACACACACACATACATACACACACACACACACACATTTCTAGGTATGTATGATTGTCTACACCTAGCATTAGATGAAGACTGAGCCTTCCTAGAAAATAGGCCTTTGATGCTATTTGGCTTCCTTTTTGACCTTCCTTCAGGCACGGTATTCCCTTAGAAGCCATCACACAGACTTATCCACAGTGCCTCACACACACACACATGCTCTGCCACCATCGAACACTGCCATGACACGCAGGCCCAGTGAGACCCACAGGCAGCACTGGCCAGGAGGCGTATGGCAGCTGGGAGGTGGCCCACAGCCTTGGCTTCCCAAGTAAACACAGGCAGGTGTGTCTGTTGTTGGCTCAGTTATGGAAGAATCACCCAAGGTCTAAATCAAAAAATTAAAAATGGCCTCTAGAGGCATGACTGCAGTGAGGAAAGACTCTTCTTAATCAGCACTTACCACTTGATTCATGGGCTGCTTTATGAGGATTTTTTTAAAAGAAAAAAACCATCAGTACTTATTTTCCTTACAATGATAGTGAACTGAATCTCTAAAAGCTTATTCCGTGTCAGTCATCTCTTTAAAAACCATCCCCTGCCTTGCCTTCTGATCCTTTTTTAAATGAACATCTCCATCCTGCCTGACTCAAAGCATGAGGGTTCCAAAGCTCTTTGAGCATCGTTGCCCATTCGTCTGGCAGCCACCTTTCTGAATGGTACAGAGGTGCCCCGAAGGCTTGCAGAGGACAGTGTCCAGCATGGACGTGCTGTATGAGGTAGAAGAAGAAAACGACTTTTCAACAGAAACTTTAGCTCACTCCATGTGCTCACAGCAGCACGCAGGCAGTGGCCGTGACCGGGTGGTCTCTCTCTTCTTTTGCTCTGCACTCACCTCATTTGGCAGCACTTACTAGTACAGACCCCACTGACAGTGTCTCTGAAACCCATTTGAAAAAGCACCTTTGCGGCCAGGTTGCTGCCCTTTATTTCTTGGTCCCTGAGCACTGCTGTAGTCCCTCTGCACCCAGATCTCCCATAAAGAGACCCCTGAATGGAGGCTGGGTGCACACTAGCATTTTCTTCCCTGTACTTCATTTCAAAGTATCTCCTCCTAAACTCATCTCCTGCTCAAGTATAGAGATGTCTGAGCACATCTGGTTTGGGGAGCAGCAAGGGATCCACGCAGCTCTGAGAGGCCCACGGAGGGGTTCTGGGATGGCTAGATCTGGAATGCATGCAAGGCCTAGGCTGTGGTGCTCTGCAGTGTGGGTCTCTGCACAGGGATGTGTCCCGTGCTTCAACCAGGGCTCTGGGAAAAGAGAGTTCAGCTCCACCAGGTGCTCAGATACCCTCCAAGGTGTCTGGGACCCTGTTTGCTAACATCACCTAGCTCCTTAGGTGTACACCAAGCACCTGCTAAGCCCTGGCCATGGTGGATGGACATGCACTCTTGCCCTTCTACCACGTGGCCCCTGCCAGGGCAGGGCAACAAGGACAGAGCAGTTCTGCAGTGCCAGTCTGAGGGCCATGTGCAGAGCCTGGACTGCAGCAAACAACGGGGACAGTTTGACATCAGGCCAAGTCCTCAACACAAGCAGAATTAGTGCTAAAGGTTAGAGGTTACTTAAGGGCATATGGACACAACACAGGTCAGGACATTGAGAACACAGATTAATATTATTGTGTAATATTAATATTAGTAGCAATTACAGCAACATGCAGGTAGGTAACGAAAATGAGAAGAGAAGGGCGAAAGGGAGACAAAGTAAAAACTCACATCCGGGTGGGGGATGGCATATTGTCCCTGGATCGTGTAGGCCTAGAGAGAAAGAGAGAGAGAGAGAGACACTCTAAGCCCACAAGGTAGTTGGCCATGGCTGTACCCACCATGACCCTTCTGGTGTGACGGGGCCTGCTGGTGAGAGCCCCCTTGGTGTGTACCTATCCCCATTTACTTAGGACAGAGGCTAACCCTCCCAGGACACCAGGAGGCCAGTCAGGGGAGGAGAGACTGGAGGGGGAGACAATTCCACAAGATGCTTCTGACTTTCACTGCCCCCAAGTTTCTTAAAAGAAAAAAAAGAAACCTAAGAACGATCGGTTTGGTTTGACTGAAGTGGGTGGCAGCTCTCTGGAGCCTCCTTTATAAGTGCACCGATCCCATCACTTCATGATTACGTTTTGAAAATATAATCAACCATCAGAGTAAATTCTCTTGGGAAATATTTACACCAAAAAATGCAAACAAAAAGGAATTTAAAAAAGATAACCCAAACGGATTTTGAACAAGCTGGATTAAGTAAGAAATGGGTCTAAATCCGTCACAGGATTGACCCAGTTTGTCGTCTTTCATCTCTGAGTCTTCAGTTGACAGCCCCTGCAGACAGGGGTAGGAGTGCTCAGATATGGGGAGTGTCACTCTCAGGGCACACCCTCCCAGGGGGGTGAACACAGGGTCCCCCAGGCCTTTTTAGGTAAATTATTTCCCTCGTTTTGAAGCAGTGACTGACCTGCAGCCTCTCTGGCCACCTCTGAAATCCCAGTGGAGAAGCAAAGGCCCCGCCCTCACCTGCCTCAGCCCCAAGGCTTTCAGGGGATTCAGAAACTCAGGGCCAAACAACAAGTGAACCACACGCAGTCAAGGGAGAGCAAGGACATGGACGAGTGGTCAGACCTGGGTGCAGGCACGGGTGCTAGAGGACATGGCTTCTGGCACCCAGCTACGTGGGGCCCGTGCCACTTCCAAGATGGACAGGTACTGCCTGCATACGTCCACACTTGGCGTCCCCATGCACTTGAGGAATGCGTTAAGGGACATCACATGTCACTTCTGTAGATCCCAAGCCCTCCCACAGGTTTTGAATCTGCTAGGAGTTTTCTTATACACTCCAATCTGGGGACAGTGACCAGCCAATGGGGACCTGCCGCAGCATAGCTCTGAAACACACAAGGCCCCGGTGGAGTAAGGCTTGCGTCTGAGACACTCTGCTGCCCTAGTGGAGGAAGTAAAAGGATCTTATCAGATGTGGCAAAGTGTCCTAGCGAAAAAGAAGTGGGTTTTCATCACACCCCGTAAAGGATGGTGTCCTGTGGCCCATCACAGGTTTGGAAAGTTACTACCGGGGACGTGTAATAGAGCGTCACCAATGTGCTGACCCTGGACACGTGCTGCTTGCATAGAGCCCCGGGGCTATGAGGAGCTCAGAGCCTGCTTCCCTCTCCCTATTTTGACTGAGGAGGGCAGGCTTGTGTGTCTGAGCTGAACTGCCAGAGCTTGACTTGAGAAGTCTACTCTAATGTTCTGGCTCATCCATTTCCATTTATTTGCCTTATAGTTCCACAGAGTGGACCTTCCAGGCTCCACCCAGTGGCTGGAAACACAGAAGTGGCCAACAGGGGCTCTGCTCTCTAGTGGGCCTGCCTGCAGAGCTATCCAGGTGACTCACAGCAAGTGTCCTTGGTCCTTGCCACACCCCATTTGACAGAAACAAAGGACTGGGTTCTCATGCCACTTCCTTCTGACAACTATCTTCTGTGTGTATCCGACACTTGGCACTTTGGAGTTTGAGCTCCAGGGCCGTGGTGGCCTTGCTGCCCTAGGCCTGCCTCATACCCTCACTTCTGAGTTTGCACAGTGGCTTCTCTCCTAGGTTCCCTGCAGAGCAGAAGGGACTCCCATGTGACTCTGTCCTGTATTGAGGACTGAGGCCAACCACTGGTCAGGCCAGACTGTCCTGTGGACAGGGGCCCTGGGCTCTAAAGAGGCTGGCATTTCAGTGACAGCCTCTGGGACAAATGCCCTACAGCCACTATGTTTTACAGGTGGAGCAAATAGCCAGAGGGCTGGGGTGCTGGCAGAGTCCTCCCCTCAAGCTGAGCCATGACCCCCAACTGAGTGGTTTCAGATGCCACGCTGGTCTGTACAAGTGCACCTCCCTTAGAATGAAGCTCATTTCACCACTGAGAGCATCATGAGCTTGCTTAAATGTGAAGGCGGAGTGCACATAGGCTGCTGGTCTGCTCCTTAACCCTGGACTGGGGAGGCGATGGGAACAATGGAACAATCCGGCCAGGACCCCTGCTGCCCTGTGACTCTGTGCTTCCAAGGTCAGTGAGGTGGGAGGGGTGGCCCCTGTGCCCCTCGCTGGCAGTGTGGCCTTCAGAGTCCCTGTCTCCCTAGGCATGTCCCAGCTGCATATGGGGATGTGCCACGTCCTGGAGCCCCTCACCAAGGCAGGACAGATCTAAGGAGTGGGGCTGCCACTGGCATAAGATCTGATAAGACCCCTTTACAGCACAGAGAAAAACACGAGGAGAAGCTTTCTATGCTATTCTCCTTTCTCCATAATGATGCAGTCAGCCTCATGCCTACTCTCCCTGGCTGCGGCTGCCTGTGGCGGGCCCAGTCCCCACTCTCCCTTGAATAGGACACACACTGGGACCGAGAGACGCAGAGCTCTTCTGGGCCATCCCCGGCTGGATGTTCTCCAAGTTTGTCTGCTGAGGATGGCTGTAGGGACTCTGAGGGGGTGGCTGCTCCCATGGTCATGGTGGGGTAGGGCATGGAGAGAAAGCTGGACACACCTGTCCTCTGTGCTCCTCTGCCATCCCTGGCTGCCCAGACCCCTGCCCCGCACTGAGGTCCCACAGCTGGGCAGCTCGTCCTGCTCTCATGTGTCCCTGCTACAGGGGCACTAGGTGAGTCTGGGCATACGCACTTCAGGGAAGGTGGAAGCCCATCTTGATGGGCCAAGGTGCATTCAACATGACCCATGAAGTCACCTAGAATGCTCCTGCCCTGGCTAAGTGTCTTAAAATCACCCGAGAACTGGATCTGGGCAGGTGTTGCCCTGGCAGAACTGGGTCCTTCCTGTCCAGGTTGGGAGCCCTCAGGTGAAGGTGCTTCTGTGGGTCAGTCCCCATCTGTGGGACCACTCCCAGCACTGGTTCCATGTCCTCTGTGTCCCCAAGTCCCCCTGCCCGGTGCCTGGGGTGGCCGGGAGAGCTCTGCGTCCAGCACGGCAGGTGGGAGACGTGCACGTGAGAAGGCGAGAAAACCTGAGTGCACTAACGGGCAGCGGCGGGTGCTGCAGTAAAAGGCTGAGGTTGGCAGTGGAGGCCGCGAGCGGGTCGGCTCTTACCTGACCACCTGCAAAAATGACAGGGGTGGAGGCGGGCTTTGGGCGGTAGGGAATGGTGGCACCTTTCGGTGGGGACTAGGAAAAGGGACAGGAGAGGGAGAGAGAGCGTTAGAGCAGCTTCATGGCGCACACTGGGGGAGGCCTTCGTGAGCCACCCCCACTGCACCAGCCCCCACTCCCCAGGTCCCCAGGCTTGGGCCAGGGACACGGTCCACTAGGTGCCAAGGAGAGCTGAGTCCAGCCCTTTGTGTCACCCCATGGGCAGGGCAGAGTCACGTCTTAACTGCCCCTTCCTTCTGGTGGCTCCTTCTCACCAAGCCTGAGCTCTGGCTTGTCAGATCTGGTTGCCTCCTCCTGGAGTGACCACCTACCCTGAACATGTCCCCAACAAGACAGTTCCCTGCAGTCAGAGGCCAGCTGGGTGGGTCCCTGCCTTGAGGGACCCTGTGGGGAAGCTCTGGCTGCTGATGGCCACCTTCTGCAGAGCTCTTTCCTCTGGGTGCAGCTCCTACGGTGGCTCAGACAGATGTGCCTTAGGATTCTGTGAATCGCACGCTGTCCCTTCATGGGTGTGACAGCCCAGCCTTGTTGAAGAGAAACTCTGGAATCCTCTGGAAAAGGTAGAGCCCTGCTTTCCACTCCAGCATGGGATGTTATGCCAGCACCCACAGAGCTTTGCTTGGCACATGACCACATTCAGTAGAGGTTGTCATGGGAAACTCAGAAACATTTGATTCCACTAGCAAAAAAGTTGCTGTTTTAAAAATGTATAGAATCCAAATGAATAGTCCAGTCATGACGAGGTTTGCTATAATTTTTGATTATTCTGTCCAAAATATAGACTTCTTATCTTAGGGTGGAGAATATTCTCAAGTACCAGTTTCTAACCTCCCCCTCCTTCCCTTGGTCAGCTGTGATCGGTGCTCCCACCTCCCAAACACCTGTGTGGCTGGCTGCCCTGGAGTAGGTCTTGGGGCCTAGGCCCAGGAGATCCAGTTGGGAGGCCTGGCTTGGGGTGGCACCACCAGCTAGAGAGCCCAGTGAGGCTGGGGATGTTCTGCCGGCAGGGGGCAGCCTGTCCCTGCTGGGAGTTCTGGGGCCCAGCCCACTCAGGGCCGACTGAGCCCTCGGGCATCATGCGTGACCTTGGAGTAATTCTCACACTTGGACACAGCAAGGAGAGGCCAGGCTTGGCAGAAAGGTGACAGTATTTACCATAGTCCAGGCCACACCGAAGCAGGACGGGGCAGCTGGGCATGTTTGTAGGCTGACCAGGCCTGGGTGACACAGGGCTCCAGGGAAGGCCCACCTTCAGGACTTCTCTCTCCACAGCATCTCTGCAAACCAGGCTACACAGCTTCACAGACTAGACTTGGGGCTCACGAGATGGCAGGGCTGAGAGCGAGCCAGCTGGCCACCTTGCTGCAGCTGCTGTTCTGTCTCCAGTATACTGGGAGTGGTCCAGAGATGGCCTCCCAGCTGCAGGTACTGCCGCCTCTGTCAGGAGCTCTTCTTCCACTCCCTCCGTGGCACTATGTGGCTCTGACTTGTGATCCCTGAATCCTGTGCTTGCCCAGTGTTCTCTGATAGGGCAGAGACCCTTTGGGAACAGGGCCTGGTGGCCTCCTGCTGGGAGCCCCTGGCAGGGTTGGGAGACGCTGTGGCCATGACCATCAGGCAGGGAGCCATTGTGGGGACACATGTGTTACCCCTGCCGGGTTGGGGGACACTGTGGCTGCAGGTAGGGCACCATCATGAGGACACATGTGTTCTTCACAGGCCCCACCCAGACCCCTCCATGGCACCAGTGACCCTGTCTTTCATGATTTCAGAATGTGAAGCACAACCCACACCAAGTGTGACAGTTCTCTGACCAAGAGGAGGGTGTCAACGGCATCCCTGGCTTCATCTTCCAGGTACTGTTCACTTGGAAACAGGCCAAGGAGTTTCCAGCTGTGATGGATCTTCCTCCCTTGCTAAGATGGACCAAAGAGAAAAGGGCATCCTGCCGGGCCAACTCCTTCTCACTCGTGTCTGCTACATGCAGTCCCCGTCTCCTCCAACCTTACACCGTCGTAAAGGAGACCGAGTGCCCTGAGGAACGCCTGTCATGGCAACCTGCAGCCCCAGGGTGCTGTCTGCTACTGTGGGTGCTGCAGTGTCCTGTCATGGGCAGGCAGTGCCATTTGGGAACTCTGGCAGAACCACATGCTTTGTTCTGAGGAGCCAGGCCTCACCCCTTGACCAGGAATCTTGGAGGCTGTGTCCCTTAGAGAACCATTCGTACCATTAACTGCCACCCTGAGGATGTCCACAGCCACTGAACAGGAAGGGGAGTCTCAGGCCTGCTCACCAGCAGCTCAAGTAACTGGCCAGCAGGGCCTCCCCTGTGAGCCTGTGGCTGGTGGTCACCTCTGAGGTCCCGGTGATGGGGGCACTGAATAGAGAACATGGGCCACCACCACACTGTCACCTTGATCAGAGTGAGGGGAATTTAGAACAAGAATGTTTTGAAAAATATATTTAAAAACACTTTTTTTTAAGGTTGTCCTCATAGGGTACATATGTTTGCCAGAGGGAGAAAGAGAGAGACAAAGAAAGGGAAAGTGAGAGATCATCCCCCAGGGAGGATGGCCATGCCACAATCTCTTCTCCTCTGTTCTTTCTGGATTTTGGGCATGCATGTACACACACCTGGTGTGATTTTCAAGACACTGGGTCTGGGACTTGAACCAGGATGGGTCCCATGAGAGTCCAGCGTCTTAATTGCCACACCACCTACTGGCCCTGAAAAATAATTTTGACTTCACAATATATCATATTTCAGGAAAATAAAAACTATGAACACAAAATTTATTAAGAGAGTTAAACACGGGGTTTAAACACCACGCCAAATTTGAAAGAGGGATGAATGGACAGCTGCCCAGAGAGGCTTCGGTTCCAGGGAGCCATGGCGGCAGCTCTGGCTGGGAGCATGTAGATGCAGCTGGGCTGCTGGAATGGCTGAGAGGTAGGCTTCTAGCAACGATGTCAGAACCTTTTATTTGAGACAGGATTCCTTCATTTTAGCTCCAGGAAAGGACGGTCATGAATTTACTTCATTTGGATATTGGCTGAAACTTAAAGGTCTAGGTTTTTTTTTTTTTTCCTCTCCCCAAATTTTGAGAGAGGCTTTTTCTTGCTTGACAGTACAGTCTTCGCTTCTCTGTTTTAATGCTTGAGTTCATGCATCACTATTTTCACACCACAGCATTTTGTGCTCTTCTTGAGTCCTGCCCTTTGTACCTGGTTGCAGTTTGATGCTTCAGCTCCAGACTTCTGAGCTCAGAGGAATGGAGGAGCCGCCTGCCTTTGCCTTTCCACAGCTGCGGAAGCTTCAGAGCACACAGCATCTCCTCCAACAGGCCTGTCTCTACCTAGACGAGCACACTGCCCAGCCCTGGATCTTTCTTGAACCCCTCTCCAAGGATGAATGACTTCTTATCTTGCTCCGAAAATGAAGGGCCAGACTCACTCCTCCTGAGAATCTCTCGCGAAGACATCAGACCCACAGTAGACACCAGCCCCCCTCCCTGCAGCGCCTGCACACTCTCCCTTGGGCTGCCTTGGAAGCCAGGTCGGGACCCAGACCACACCCGTGATGCCTGATCCCAATAGTCCTGACCACAGAGGTCCTCAGGACAACTGAGGCACTCAGGCTTTTGTCAACAACCTGGAAGGCCACACCCAGAGTGAGCCCAGCATTGAGAGAGGGGCTGGCCAGCCGCGATGCGCAGGCAGACTGTACCTCCAGCATGACCACACAGATCTGCTTGACACATTGGATGATGGCATCTGGGGTCCCCGAGATGGTCACTGCCCGCTCTGTGGAGTTGGGCAGCATGTCTCCGGCCACCTGGACCTGGGCACCTGTGGACTGCGGAAACAGAACAACGTGGGGAGCAGAGAGTGTGAGTGGCAGCCCGAATGCTCAGGTATGTGCCCAGGCTGTGGCACCCTGAAAACCCTGCACTGGAAAAGGAGGCTGAGCTGGCCAAGCAGGCTCAAGCGTCCTTCCTCTCCTGTCCCCCGGCCCCCACTGTCCTACATGAGATCTCCCCATATTTGCCTAGACATCTCAGCCCTCTGCAAGCCCCTTTGTGGGGCACTGTGATATTCCGGCTGTCGTTCCATTCCAGAGAGCAATGCTGGACAGTGGGCTTATCGCTGGAGGAGGGGGTCCGATGTGAGATACATTCTCTGTATGAAATTCTATCTCCTCAGACTCTAGCCATGAGGAGGACTCAGAACTGGTGGCAAGACCTCCCTCCCTCAACAAGAGGGGCACATGAACATAAAGTCCACCTCATGCAATCCACTGGCTGGGATGCTGCCATAGCTTGGTGTTGGCCAGGGGTTGGGACTGCTGGTGATGAGTAGTGGAGGAGGGCACCTCACCAGGGGCAGAAATCAGAGCCTTCTACTCCCTAAGCCACATGACTAGGTTACCACAACCCACCCATTCCAGGAGGCCTGCACACCCTGGCAGGGCCTCTGCATGCATGGGGCCGAAGGTGGAGTTGTGACATGGTGGGTTTCCCACAGCTCACTGTCTGCTCATGAAATGTTGGGGCCTGTTGTTGGCTGCTGCTTGCAAGGTCTGCCATGGCCCATGCTGTATCCAGGGAGGTGGGCTGGCTAGCCACAGCTGCCCCCAAACTGATCTCATCCACCCAGAGACTTTGTACCGGCCGGGCTTGAGGGTCCAGTTACCTCCCTGATCTCCTTGATCTTGGAGCCACCTTTGCCAATCAGGGACCCACACTGGCTGGCAGGGACCACGAGCCTCAGTGTCACCGGGGGCTTGCTGGTGGCAGGGCTGTTGCTCATGGAGTTGATGATGTCCTGGGGAGACACGTGTGGTCACATGTCAGCAGTGCAGACCAAGGCGGAGGAAAGTGGTGGAGCACAGGGTGCAGTGCCTGCACCTCTCCAATCCAGGGCCTTGCAGCACATTCTGAGTGTGCGCAGAGCCTTCTGGGAACAAAGCAGGGATGTGGTGGGCAGGCTGGAAGTCATGGAGGCCTCAAAGCCAGGAAGGACTTATCCATCAGACATGAAGACAGGTGGGGGCCATGTGGAGGGGATTCAGAGCAGGGAGTGGATGGAGAGGATGCCAGGATTTGGACCTGACCTTTGCCTGGAGACCCAACAAGCAAGAGGTTGATGCTCACGAAGTGTGAATGCTGGCTGGAGGGCAGGGGAGGGTATAGGTAAGAGACTCAGCAGGGGCTGTGCCTGAGAGAAGGGCTCTGCTGGAGCAGTAGTGTCGGGTAACAGGCCATGATATCCAGCTGTAGAAGGGAGGTGAGGGTGGGACTGTCCCTGGCTCACTTGGTGGCCAGTGGTTTGTGACCCTGATGTGAGGGGACAGAGCTGGGTGTTGTTCCAGCAGATGACTCACAGAGGTGGGTGGTACCTGTAGGCATCTGGTGGGGAGGGCCTGGCCTGCGGAGGCCCATGCTCATTGCAGTGGAGCAGCCAGACCCTCTGTGCATATCATACAGCTCTGTGTTTATCACTGCCCCAATTATGGCTCCTGGTAACAACTCACTGCTATAAGATGGCCTTCCTCCTCAATCTTACAGCAAACAGTGCATCAGGTCATCCCAGTGTGTTCAGGAGATACAGATGGAGGAAGGGGAGAGAGTACTGGATACCCTAGAGAGCAGACTGGCTTGAGGGCCAGAGGAGGGTAGGGGTGGGAGAGGATCGAGCCCCTAAGGGGCTTTCAGGACAGAGTTTGGGAAGACCATGGCTGGACACTAACCTTGCTGCCCTGAGCCAGTGTTCTGTGGGTGAACACTGAGAGGCTGGATGTGCTAATGGATGCCAGCCAGGCCACATGCAGCAGAATGGTCCACCCATGGCCTCTGCAGTTACCAGCCAGGAAGTCAGCCACAGCCTGGATCATGGCCCAGGTGGCCAGGACAAGGCTGAGGACCACAGCTTCCCTGGTGCTGTCCCCACCTCCACCTGAGGGCCAACCAGGAAGACCCATCACATGAGAGGCTCCTGCTGGTGAGTCACACCCAGGTCCCATGCTCACAGCCTCTGCATCTGTGCGACTCTGAAGCCTTCCCCACTGCTCAACAGCAAGCCTGCTTCATGAAGTACCTGCCATATACAAGGGACGGTGGCCAAACCCTGCTGTAGCCAGCGTGAGTGGATGCCTTGGCTGACTCTCCGTGGACAGCCTTGTCTCCACATTTGTGGACAGTCCTGAGACCTGTCTGCATGGCCCATGCTATGGACCCAAGCCTTCAACACAGAGGCCCTGGGGCATAAGAGGATGTGGGGAGCCCTGAGATGGGCTCTGCTCATTCTGCACCAAGCTCCTTGCAGTTATTCTCAGTTATTCTGCAGTTATTCCCAGTGTTAGTGACTGGTTGGTTCCCCTCTCTGTGCAGCATCTTAGGTGTAATCAGTTCATTGCTTTCCATCCCCTTTGCTGTCTTGTGTATTACTATTTTCTGTTGCACTAAAAGTGTTGCTTATTGTGAGCAGGAAAACCACAGGGTTGAATGGAAGCCTGTGGTATTATCTCCCAGACCAGCAGGTTGTCGCTCTCACTGGACCAGAGTTCTCTTGGGCAAACTCCACTCTGGGTCACTAATAAAACCAGTGAAGATCTCCTTTGCTCCAACTTTTCATGCTCAGAGCTTGACTCTCATCCAGAGAGTGGGATCTCTAGTTTTCTGCTCACTGGGGTTGGGGGAGGCTCTGAGTTTACATGCATGAGGTAGGGGACCCAAGATACTAGAAACTGAGCCCTGTATCCCTCCTGTTACTGGCTCTCATGGGGTCACCTGCCTAAATGCTCTCCTCTTCCAGGAAATACTCATTCTCCTTGAATATACTCTACTTACTTCTTCCTAACTGGCATAACTTCACCAAGGATGACCTGGGCTTTCAGTGGACACTCTGGGGAACACTGGACTTGAACAAAATTGGTCTTTTGAGAGGTGCCACAAAAATAAAAAAGAAGGGAATAAATAGGCCCAGCAGGTGGCGTGGTGATGAAAACGCTGGCCTTCTTACATGCTGATTGTGATTCAAGTCCCAGACCCATCAGTTTGAAAGTCATAACAACTGCTGTGCGTGTGTACCCAATCCTAAGAGGAGAATGGAGGAGAAAAGACTGTGGTATGGCCATCCTCACTGGGGAGTGATTTATCACTTTCCCTCTCTCTGTCTTTCTCTGGTGAGTGCACATGCCCAATGGCAAAAAAGTTAAAAAAAGAAAAAAAGAAATAAGAAACAAGATTTCTCAAATCCAATGGGTGGCATTTTTTGATATGAAGAGGCTTCCAAATGGAATTCTAATTTAAAAATCAGAATTGGAATTTATGTATTAGCTAGAGCTAATAAACAACCTGACATTGACATAGCAAGCTGGGCTCTTGGTCTAGAACCACCTCTACCCACTACCCTCCTGCTACTTCCCTGTGCCCAGAGAGTCCTCTCCCCTGTTGCCTCTGTGGCTACACCTCAACCCTTCTCATAAGATCCCCGAAGTACAGCGACCCGGCACACAGGCAATTGCAGCATTTAAACTTAGGCCAGAGCTTAATTAAGAATTGTAATTAGGATTTCCTTAATCCCAAATAAGATATGTAAATATTAACAGAAGGATTTTAATTCTTTCTACCTGGGATTATCTGAGCACTTTTCCCATAAATAAACCTAAACTTACATATCAAATGGTTGATGCACACACTTTTATATGGGCCATCGTAAAAGACTCTGAGGGTCAAACAAGGCCCCAAGGTAGGGTGAGTTCTCCTAAAGGCCACATCCAACACACTCCCAATAAAATTGATCAGACCAGCGATGCAAACAGAAAGGGTGAAACCACTGTAGAATTTAGGGACAGACTAGAAAACACCTTCTGGCCACATTTGGGAATTAGGAAGGTGCTGTCTCGTTTGATCAATGGAGTGAAGCCTGATTTGAAAACAGGAATCAGAGTGGAAATAGCCCTTTGGCTCATCCACAACACCTGGAATGACATTTCAAAAGGTTCCAGAATAGAACTGAGACAGCGAGTTTAGGTGCTCTTAGATATGCTTCTAAGTCCCTGGAGAGGTGCATGAATAAAGTTGGAGGCCAATGCAGAGATAACATGGAAGTTAAAGGAATGTTCCAGCAGGTCTTTATGCCACACAAGCTGCTTAGCCAAGATTATGATTCGCTCTAAACTCTCAAGGGGTGAATTTCTGGAGGCATTAAAAGAGGCCATTATGAGATATCAATATTGCATCCCTGATTTGAAAAAAGAAGAATAAAAAAACTATAGTTGTTCTCTTCACTCAGATAATCTTGGGAGCTTTCAAAACAGCTTGCTGATGGACCATATGATTTCACTCTAGGAAACTCCTCATTGTGGAATAGATGCTTTGGTTAGCATTTTGAATCAAGATTCATGGGTAACTTACAAAGACAGGTGAAGTATTTTCAGGCCACGTGTCACCTAAAATCAGCATAATCCTGAAAAAACTGGCTAGGAGACAATCTCAAGGATCCTTCACATGACTGCAGATGGATTTTAAATACCTTCCACTCTCCATAGGATTTGAATATACTAGGTATTTTCCATTTATTTTCAGGATATATTAAATAATTTCCTGCT